CCTTATGAATCAATCATGAGGGCATCTTATGGATCTCGAACGAAAGATGACAAAACTTAGATCCTTGCTTTATGCCTAGCTATGGACGTAGAACTATAGCGCTTGTTGGGAGGCAACCAAATGAATAAAATATATTTTTGCTTTTTGCTTTCTGATTTTATGTGTTAGCATAATTATGCTACTGTTATGATTGTGTTTTTTGTGTTTTAATTAGTGTTTGTGCCAAGTAAAGCCTTTAGGATCTTCTTGGGTGATAGTTGTTTGATCTTGCTGAAAAAATAGAAACTTTTACGCTCACAAGATTAATTTTTATATTTTACCAAAGAGCGATAAAATACCTGTTCCACTTGAAGTAGATCAATATACATATTTCTCAGGTCTTCCTAATTTTTTAGGATTTTTGGAGTTACAGAAGTATTCGAAATAGTCAGATTGCTACAAACTGTTCTATTTTGACATATTCTGGTTTCTTTGTGTTGTGTGCTTATTCTGATGGCTCTATGGTTTTCTTTGATGAGTTTTTGCCATAAAAAAGTTTGAATATAGTAGATATAATACAAAAACAAAATATGAATTGGTTTGATACAACACTTATAGTAGTGGTTTATTATTCTTATACTAACGGATCTCACGAAGGTTTTGTTGAGTTTTGTGTGATTGAAGTTTTCAAGTTTAGGGTTATCTTACGATGGATGAAGGAAGGATGGAAGAGCCTAAGCTGAGGGATGCCCCGGCATCCCAAGCTATTATACAAAAATGAGCAACCAACTAAGCTTGGGGATGCCCCCGAGTGGCATCCCCGCTTTCTTCCAACGATCATCGGTATTTTACTTGAAACTATATTTTTATTCGTCACATGATATGTTTTTTGCTTGGAGCGTCTTGTATGATATGAGTCTTTGCTTGTTTTATTTTGTGCTTTAAGTCATCAATCCATGCTGGACACACCTATTAAAGAGAGCCAAAATTACGTCATGACTTGTTAGAATTGCTCTCTATACTTCACTTCAATTTTTTTTATGAGCTAGGACTTTCTCTAGTGCTTCACTTATATCTTTTTGAGCATGGTGTGCTTAGTATTTTTGAAGAAATTCTCTCTTGCTTCACTTAAATTATTTTGAGAGAAAGAAAAATTTATTATGCTCATGATCTTCACTTATATTTGTTTGAGCTTATGAAAAGCAACACATGAAAATTAGTCCCAAAGTGATAGATATCCAAGAAGGATAAAGAAAAAAATGTCATGAAGATCATTGGACAAAATAAACTTTATTCTTAGTAATAGTTTTGAGATATGATGATGTGATATGTGAGTTATGTTGATCAGCAATTGTGCTCTAGTAAGAATATTGGTGTTAAGGTTTGTGATTCCCTATGCATGCACGAAAGTCAATAATCATGCAATGAAAATTATATCCTACTTGTGGTGCATTATTCGGTGTTAATTATGCTTAATGCTTGCTTATGAGATTATCTGTTTTAGTTGGTCACTTCCCAATCTTTTGCTAGCCTTCATTTTGCACTAAGTATGATCACTACTTATGCATCCAAAAACCTTTAACCCAGTTTTGCCACATGAGTCCACTATATTTACCTATATGTGGTATTCTTTTTTTGTTCTAAGCAAATTTGCATGTGCCATCTCTAATTTTCAAAATAAACTTCTCTTTTGTGTGTTTGTTTCGCTCGCGGAGCGGTGAGGGGTGGCTAATATTTTCCATGCTAGATATGTTATTCTCAAGATGAGTGTTTATTCACTTGTCATTACACGAGAGTAAAGCAAAGGTATTAGGGATGCCCAGTCCCGAAATGCAAAAGTGAATTTACTTTATGTTGTCAAATAATAAATTCCTTGGAAAGTGTTGGTATGGAGGGCACCCGTGGAAACGGTTAGCCATGGAGAGTGAAAGTTATGGTGGAAAAAGGAATAATCTTTATTTTCTATTTGGGAACCGCCTATGATATATCTATGCATGGAAAGTATTGGGAACTATTAGTTGGTGGGATGGATACACCTCCCAAAATGTATTTATCTCTAAGTTTTTCGCTTTGAGCTCTGACACCTATACAAATCCCTACTTCCCTCTGTGAAGGGCCTTTCTTCTACTTTATGCAATTTTTATTTTTGAATTTGAGTCTCCATCTTCTCTTATAAAAAGCACCAACTAGGAGGCAATATGATTGTACTTAAGTATTGGGTGTAGCTAATATTCGAGTGTGTTTCATGAATGGATCAATATTTGATCATGATGGGCTAGGGATAACTTATTTTAGCGTTGATATTTTGAAAGGCATGGTTGCTTGTTGATATGCTTGAGTATCTAAATTATTATGTCAAAACTAGACTATTGCTTTGAATCACATAAAAAGTCCAAATGTCCATGCTATAAAGAAAAGAATATGATATGACATGTTAAACAGCACTCCACATCAAAAATTCTATTTTTATCACTTACCTACTCGAGGACGAGTAGGAGTTAAGCTTGGAGATGCTGATACGTCTCCAACGTATCTATAATTTTTTATTGTTCCATGTTGTTATATTATCAATTTTGGATGTTTTATACTCATTTTATATCATTTTTTGGTACTAAACTATTGACATAGTGCCAAGTGCCAGTTCCTGTTTTTCCATGTTTTTTACATCACAAAAAATCAATATCAGACGAAGTCCAAATGCCACAAAACTTTACGGAGATTTTTTATGGACCAGAAGGAACATGTTGGGGGTGCTCGCCATGTCGTCTCACGGACAGGAGGGCCGGGCCGAGGACCCTCATGGCGATTAATTACTAGGATTCTTCGGGCAGCCCATGACATATACAATGGATATTCCACAAGACTTGGCGCACAGGACGAGGACTCTTCTAAATCCTAGGCCTCTGGTACATTATATAAACCGAGGCCAGGATAGTCAATAGATCATTACAACTTAGATCATTAGATCTACAAAGAGGTTCATTCACACATACGATCGTGAGGTAGATCAACATGTACTCTATACCCCATCCACAATCAATATAACAAAGCAAGACAAAGGGTTTTACCTCTTTAAGAGGGCCCGAACTTGAGTAAATACCGTGTCCATTCTTTGTCATGTTACCATCGTACCAAGATCACCAGCTTGGGACCCCTACCCGATATCTACCGGGTTTAGCACCATCACATGTGTATCTTCGACCAACGGTATGGTCTTCCATACTTTCAATCCTAATGGTATTGGACCATCTTCGGGACCTGCAACATATACACCAACAATAATGAAGTGGACAAAAGAACAGACAAGATAAACATACTATTTACCCCAAGCTGGCATAGCAATACAAACATTGACTTCTGGAGCCGTCCTCTATGCACATTGACATGTAGTGACAACTACTTAGCACTGTGAGTGTAAATAGCCAGTTCTAGGAAAATGGTCGTATCCAACTAGGTATCAACGACACCCTTATTGGCTCTCACATTCAGCTAGCAATCCTAGATGCATGCATAATTGTTTCTCATGTCCATTGTTTTATTTTTTTAGGGAACAATCTGGCCCATCTTAGGCCACTCGATATGCACCAGGAATATTTTGGCCCTCAAGTTTTCTGGCCCTGATTTGGATGTCGTTCTCAATCTTCTTAGTTGCTTCCCCTTCTTGGAAAAGTTCTATGTCATTGTAAGTGCTCATTTTTGTTTTCCTTAAATGTTGAAATAAATTCTTGATTCTCGTTTATATATTCTAGTCTAGTTAGCAACTGCCTATTTAACATGTATCTGGCATTTCCCAATGAGAGGAGTATTTGAAGGCAAAGATGAAGAACTTGCATCCTCAGTCTGACCCACTACTAAATCCAGTGAAATGCCTTGAGAACCATCTCAAAGTAATGGTGTTGAAGAATTACAAAGGTGGTGAGAAAGAAGTTGGCTTTTCCAATTTCTTTGTTTTGAATGCGAGTGGTGAAGGAAATCAACTTAACATGATTGCCATCGATGAGAATTGGATGATTGATCAACTCAGGCTGCTACAAGTAGAAACTAGAGCTTCTCAAGTCGCGCGGTTGAAATTCAAAAATGGTTATTCTCCCTAGCAGACCTATGTGTATACAAGTGATGTATCATAGACCATTTTAGTTGTTATTTTCCAAAAGGGTTCGACCCTCTTTCAAAGAGAGCATATGTGTGCTCTGTCAATTGCCTATCCTAATGAAGACTTCTTTTGCAGATTACGTTGATAGCTGATGATGTTGTGTGTGTCTTCTATTAGAAAGAAGTCGCGCATCTGCGCTGAGGACAACAGACTATGGTCCTTCTGTTTCTCATGTTCTGTAATTAGGGCTACTTTGGTAGCCTGGTGTGATACCTTTGGTCCACCTTTAACTATTTTTTTGTCCTTAACTCTCCTCCTCCCTCGTGTATATCTATGCACGTTCTAACTATTTCTATATTAATGTTCCCTTAGTCACAGAGACGAAAAGTAGAGCCTTCTTGCCCAAATTTGTGATATACATGTCATAGAAAAGTCCTACCCGAGCATCCCACCTAGTCCCACGCGGTGTCTACGTGGAAATCATCAAGCCCAAGCCAATGAAAATCTAAGATTAAGCTAAAGAAGAATAAGCTAAAAAGAACCTTAAGGGAGCCTAGCTGCTAGTTGAAATACTTCGTGTGATAAAAAGCTGGTAGTGTATACATTGTACAAAGCAAACGTTGCACGCATTGCAAAATCCAAGTAAACCGTTACAATCGAACTACACCAGATTTGTGTGTGAAATCATATATACAACTAACTGAATATGCCATTTATCTTTCTCATCCCCTTCCCCATGAGTCTCCTCACTTTTAGCAAAGTAAGTTGTATTTGGAGCTTTGCATCAGCCAGGGTCCAGGAATAAGAGTTACTAAGATGAAAAATTGGTTGAGCTCAGCCATAAATGAACCCATTAACTTTGGATATAAAAAGCACATGAAAGTTGTTGCTTTAACAACAGTAATTTCTTCTAATATCCTTGATCCCTTCACCTGCAATGAGCCGTAAATAGAACCAAAAATATTGTGTATGAACAAACATAATTTAGACAATTTGAGGAGAAGACTTTATTAGTTTCACAAACGTTCTCATACAGGGTGATTAACATAAACTATTATGAGTAAAACCTCACGAATTAAACTATTATGAGTAAAACCTCACGAATTACAAATGTGAAAGGGAAGCTCTTGTGAGGCCACACACATATAATGTAAAAGCCAATGCTTCTCCTCCCGCGGCTAAACTAGAATCACTACGCCAGAGGAGGAAATGTGTAACATGCAAGACCATTCAATTTGACCCGACATATGATCAGAATAGCGCAAGAAGCATATAAAATGCATAACTAAAATCAAAGCCGTGTGACTCCAAAGAATAATAAATATCAAAACTGCATGTATGAAATGACGATCATCGTAATTCCCTTAATATATTTCACTTACTTCCGCACTTGTAGCCGTGTGGGAATGGCGTCTTGCAGAAATTGGCAACGTAGGCAACCTTCTCCGTACACCATATCTTCTCTTTCTCCTTGGTGACACCAACACAAAGGCATGGGATGTTTGCCTTCTGCCACACGGCGCAGCATGCGTCCGACGGATCTAGCTTCGGGTTTGCTGGCCATTTTTGATACTTAGCACACTCCTTGATCTTGGTCTGTCGGTCACCCTCACATTCGTCGGCCGACACGGCTACCGCAATAGTGAGGATGATGAAACATAAGCACATGAGTTTCGCTATGGCTATGGCTTTTGTATCTCCTACACTAAAGCCTTCTCTATCCCTTTGATATTAGAATCGTACAATATAGGATTTGTGTGGCTTCTGTGAATGTGTGGGATACATGATGTCGCTAGCTATGTCTTGGTATATATAGCCTTCTTTGAGATGATGATACAGACGCATACACCAGTTGTATATCATGAAGATATAGCACCGCGTCAGACAATTAATGTATACATTAATTATACATCTAGGTGTTGGAATAAGCCACGGCGTGTGTGATCGGACTCATCGGGTGCGCGCGGGACGGGCGGGACACACTGGTGCCGTCGGGCTTGTCGGGCGCGTCGGTGACGTGCGGGACGTGCGGGACGCAGAAGCGTGGCGTATATGTGTGTAGCGTGTATACACTCGAGTCTGGCACGTAGAGCAGGGCGTTGGCAAGTGTGCCGGCCAAGTTTGCTTGATGCGTGTGAGTTAGTTAGTTGATTGTTAGCAGTGACCGGTGGAGATGGCCGCGTCGTGCGCGTAGCGCGCATGTAGTGCGCATGGCCGGGCTGATGGATTGCATGCAGGGTAGCTAGCTAGGCGGCGTGCGTACGTGCGCACAAGGAAACGTCGGCGCTGCGTTGTTGTGCCACTACAAAGCCATGACCACGAGTGTATTTGTTGAGGAGAGTTTTTGGGGCTCCGAGAAAAGTAACGGGGCTGTGAAGCCGGGTGAAACTTCATTGTACTCTGTGCTCCTTCTTCTTCTATCTCCATCCATCAGTGTGAGAGAGCGGTTCCAACAATTGATATATAGAGCTTTGGTTCGGGCGATCACCGGCGACCATGGCGCTCGTCCCACACGGCGGCGGCGCGAGCGGATCGGCGACGATGGCGATGACTTTGCTGACCGCGGACAACTACACGCTCTGGGCCATCAAGGCGCAGGCGATCTTCGACGTCCACACCGTATGGGAGGCGGTGGCGCTGGGCGACGCGGCGGTGAACGCGCGGAAGGACAAGATGGTGCGCGTGTTGCTTCTCGGGGTGTTGCCGGAGGATGTGCTGCTGCAGGTGTCGACGAAGCTCACCGCCAGGGAGGTATGGGACTCCCTGAAGGTGAGGTTCGTCGGCGCTGATCGGGTCCGCGCGGCGAGGCTGGGGACGCTGCGTGGCGAATTCGACCGGATGAAGATGGCGGACGGCGAGGAGCTCGACGTGTACGGCGGGAGGCTCGCGGCGATGGCAGCGAGGTATGCCAACCTCGGGAAGACGCTGGGCGACGCGGCACTTGTCAAGAAGTTGCTGGATACGGTGCTGGATCGTCTCTTCCCCGTCGTCGCCGGCATCGAGCAGTTCCACGACGTGACGACGATGGCGTTCGACGAACCGCTCGGGCGGCTGCGTGCGTTCGACGAGCGGGTTCGGCGCCATGGACAAGAGGGCGGCGAGCGCGGAGGTGAGCAGCTGCTCATGACGGCGGCGCAGTGGGCAGCATTGGAGCGTCGACACGGCGGTGCTCGGGACGACGACGACGGGCACAGCGTGCCGTCGGGGAGCGGCGGCAACAGGCGTAGGCGCTGCTACAAGTGCGGGGAGCACGGGCACTTCCGGCGCAAGTGCCCACAGCTGCGGAAAGGACCGGCGGCGGAGCATGCACTCTTGGCCGGCGCCAACGTCGACGATGACGGACTCCTCTAGGCTGTGGCTTAAGTGGTGTGTGTTGAAATAAGCCACGGCATGTGTGATCGGGCTCGTCGGGCGCGTCGGGTGCGCGCGGGACGGGTGGGACACACTGGTGCCGTCGGGCTCGTCGGGCTTGTTAGGCGCGTCGGTGACATGCGGGACGGGCGGGACGTACGGGACGCAGAAGCGTGGCGTATGTGTGTGTAGCGTGTATACACTCGAGTCTGGCACGTAGAGCAGGGCGTTGGCAAGTGTGCCGGCCAAGTTTGCTTTATGCGTGTGAGTTATGTTAGCTGATTGTTAGCAGTGACCGGTGGAGATGGCCGCGTCGTGCGCGTAGCGCGCATGTAGTGCGCATGGCCGGGCTGATGGATTGCATGCAGGGTAGCTAGCTAGGCGGCGTGTGTACATGCGCACAAGGAAACGTCGGCGCTGCGTTGTTGTGCCACTACAAAGCCATGACCACGAGTGTATTTGTTGAGGAGAGTTTTTGCGGGTCTGGGAAAAGTAACGGGGCTATGAAGCTGGTGAAACTCCATTGTATTGTGTGCTCCTTCTTCTTCTATCTTCATCTATCAGTATGAGAGAGCGGTTCCAACAGAGGCTACATCATACTTAGTTCTATATCTTGAAGATACGATATTGTATCAAATAATGAATGTGTACATTAACTTTATATCTACAGGCTAGACCTTTAAGATATGAAATAGCATCAAACAATAAATGTGTACATTAACTTCATATCGACACGTTTTACACACATTAGTTGTATATATGATATATCTCGAAGATATGGCACTGCATGAAAAGAATGAATGTGTACATTAGTTGCATATCTACACGCTACAACAATACATTATTATATATATCTTGAAGATATGGTATTGCATCAAAAAAATAAATGTGTACATTAATTGCACATCTACGGGCGTACAACATTACATTAATTATATATATCTTGAAGATATATTACTGCATCAAAAAAGGAATGTGTACATTAATTGCACATCTACGGGCTACAACATTAGATTAATTATATTAACTTTTTAAGATATGGCATTGCATCAAAAAATAAATGTATACATTAGTTGCACATCTACAAGCTACAACATTAACCGCAAATTGCTACAATATTGCATCGCACTTTGGAAATATGCATTGAATTCTATATATCACACTAGTATAAGACACTGGACATGTACATTAATGGACATGTATCTCAAAAAAAATAAGGTTGAACTCTGGAGGGGAGCTTCTGAGGGGACGGCGCAACCCGCTTACGAGGCCTAATAAATCTGTAATTGTTGGCCCATGTGAGACAATTTTTTTTATTTTGCCAGTGCTATTACTTTGGCTTATCAATTGGCCCCGTCTTACTTCCATGCCGCTCTCCGCTACTGATTGAGCCCACGTATCTTTTTTCTATCGGGGTACCTATTTGTATAATATTAGATGATCCCTGCGCATTGCCGTGGAAAATTTGTTAAAGGTAATACATAAAGTGGTACTTAAAACAAGTAAAACTATTTGCAAACAAGTGTTCTCATCATGGTCGCTTGCACCAAGGGAAGATGGGAGGCGTGGCTGGAAGGTAGAGCGTCGAACTCCGACAAGACAGTTGGAGAAGAACTGGACATCTCTTTGGAGAGTCCAAGTGCCGTCAAAGATCAGGGTATTTTTGTGGCGGCTTGCCAAGCACTCACTTCTCACGGCAAAATCATGCCACTCCCTCCGTACTCCATAGTGAGAGTAAGGTAGATAATAACATCACACATAACTAGGTAAAATAGATGATAGATGATGTGGCAAGAAATTAATGAGGAAAAAGAGGCATATGGTAACATTGTATGTTATTCATACTATGAGTAACATCACACATACCAAAACAAGATGAGTCTGTAACCTAATAAATGGAGTATTGCATGACACCATACATATGTTACTCCTCGTTATGTAGGTAGTAACATAGACTAGTAACATATGCATGTTACTAAAGTTACTCCCCACTATGGGTAGTCTAAGTCATCTTACGTTGTGCATCAGGACCAAAACGAAGGGAAAACAAGAGAGCGTAATGTTCATTAGCTAATTAATACCATTGCATGCAATGAATTAACCACTGCATGCCGTGGTAGGTAGTCTCAACTCATTAAAAACATACACGCCCCACATCTCTTATTGGTTGATTCATTTATTCATGTCAAGAAATAAGAAATAAGGTGAGAGTTAATGCACCACCCCTGAGTGTTTTGAGACTATATGGTTTTCGTAAAATGACTAATGCATCGATACGGAGGAAGTAGTTCATAGGAATGCATGTTACACGAGATGCAAGATACACGGTCACATGGATTCCTCAAGGGTAAGGCATTCCCGTCTGGAGTGCACAATGTCAGTGTGCGTATGGGCTGTGGCTGACGAGTACGTGACCAAACTATTGCAGAACCGGCGAGAACCCCATAAACTGGAATGACCTTTTACTCTGATTGATCACTTGAAATCCCATAAACCCCATAAACCCCACAAATCCCATAAACCCCATAAACCCCATAAACCCCGTAAATCCTCATGTGCATTAGCAATTTAATGAAAACACCAATTTTAAACATTCTTGATGTTGTTATCATGATGCGGATGACATACGCAAGTTTAAGCAATTTTATGAGAATGTTGACATGAGCATATTATGAAGCATTTGTCATTGTGGCGGAAACAAAAAGGGGTGCCACTGCGATGAATCCGAAAATGATATCACGGCAACATATCGGTTCCGGTAGCTCATGGAGATACCGATGCAAAAGGTAGTGTGGCGGGAGCGTGCAAAAGATGGTGGGGGTGATCCCGATAACCGGGTTCCTACGGGTGGACGGCATGGCAACGAGGAGGAACAACTAACGTTCACGGGCGAATACAACATCTAAACATGCATCTCATACAACACATGCATTCGTTCATGGGCATCGTTCCGGCGGTTATACCTTCCAAGGGTGCATTCTCGGAGCATTTCGGGTACATCGAGGGAAGTAGTTGTTCTCGCGACGGTAGTGAAAGTAGCTGTTCTCGCGGGTCGTAGAGGAAGTAGTTGTACTTGCAAACTTGTCGGATCCACGACGACGGTAGTTGTTCACGTTCATAGTCGCACAAGTTTCCGTAGATGTTCGGGGTCACGGCGAGGTACTCGGTGTTTCGGTGCGGTGTAGGGGTACATGTCGATGGTCGTCGTGGTACTTGGTGTTTCGTTGCACCCAAGCGACGGTAGTCATACACGACGCGCTGTGGACGTAGTTGTACTCGCGGTCTTCGGTAACGGAAATTGGGCGTAGTGGTACACG